TCTGTGGTTTCTGTGATGACTGGATTCATAAACTGAGCTGTTTCCAGCCCCAGCAAAATGTTAGGACAGTATTTCCCCACATGCCAAGAAAAACAACGCACTATCTTTTAAGTAGGATCTCCCTCTTTTCTTTGAAAATGACTGAAGCAGAGCATCAGTTTTGTTGGCAGCCTTTAAAATTTGATATGCTGAACTGTGGTGGCCCAAACAGCCTTGGTTCATCACACATTTGCCCTGAAGTCGTTTTCAGGTAGAGAATCCAGGCTGGACTCAAATTTCTGAGACCTTCTGTCAGCATTTCCCTCCCATACTATGCCATGCCACAGGACACCATTAGTCAGACAAATCGCTAGCCTGCTTGGCAGCCTCTTAAATAGGAATTAAGTTCTTGCTTGAGTGCTCAAGTGAAGTTGAACTGGTTGCGTTAGATGCTGACTGCTTAGTTAGAACAGCCATACCAGCAGGGATGGAAGAGCCCAAGGTAGGCTCGGGCAGGAAGGTGAGCAGCCCACATAGGCCCAAGCCTGGGTGCAGTTGGTTACCAGGACTCCTGTTTTGGCTGGTGAGTCCCAAGCCTCCCAGCAGTCACGCAGGAGCACCTGCCTCCCTAACAGCACGTTCATGGAGAAATACAAGAAAACCCTGCTCCATGAGGAATGCAAAAGCTTCAGTTTTAAGAGAACAGTTTTAAATCTGGCTCCTTGTTCTGCTAATTTGGAGCAGGGATTTGAAACTTCTCACCTTTCAGAAAATGAACTTATCCACCAAGATTGAGAATTTCTGAGGCTGGTCTTCCTAATCTCTTGCTGAAATGGTCTCATGGAGTTATAAACAATTGCATCTATACTGGAGCAAAGAGTAAAAATTGACATTATCTTTAACCTGCTCATTTTTTCCCTTCTGGATCAATGCATGCTTTCTTACCTAAATAAAATCAGAAAATGACAGTAAGATGGAGTGACAATTCAGAATAGAAAGCATGCCTATCCGTGGCAAGCTATCTTCCAGTGAGGACAGATTCACAGACACTTCACATCCACACCATGGACCACGTTGCTCCAACAGCAAGACATTAAACACAAACACAAGTATGTCTCACACCTAAGTGACTGGAGAAGGAACAGCAGAAAGCATTTCAATCCCAGATTAACAGATAGAAAAGTCTCACATAAATCTAACCCAAAGCACTGAGAAGTCAGATTGCATCTTTCTCCTTCTTCTGTAGATCACCATACACAAAAGCTTCTCTCTGTTATTAATCAGCCAAAACAAGAGCAGGTTTGAGAACCATACTGATGTCTAGGGGACAATCAGGCCACTGTCTCATTCCAGCAAGGGGTGTTGGTCCAAGCACCCATTCCATCACAGACTTCCTGTATGACTGTAATTGCATATTAAAAGCTATGATGGATTTATTTCCATGGCTCATTTTCAGAAAGAGTGTGCAAATAAATAAATAAATAAATATAAAATTATGTTTAAAAATCCAAGCCTTACCCACCACAGATCTCCTTGTCAATCTATAAATGTAAATAAAACATTTCCCCTTCTGAATATATTTCATGAAAATAAATAGACTGAAGACTGAAGATCAGTCAGAAGATACCACAACTTGTGTAAGATTTTTATTTTCCTTGAGAAGCTGTTATTAGCAAAAAAGCTTCTGTAACTTCAGAGACAAAACAAACATCCCAATCTCAAAATCCATCAAGACAGGCAGTGAAATTATTTTTTACATTTACATACTTGCATTATGCAGTTGCACATTTAAAATTATTAGGAATATAAAATGATATGACCTTGGGGCAAAGCTTTGGTGTCATTCATCTATTTTGAACACAGTCATGAAACAGCAGCTGTGTTTTGTATTCCTCAGCACAGTTCATCAGTCTCGTCTGCTGTGTTTCTAGATGGCAGCTAGCAAGAATTCTTCACCGGAGTTTGTAAGTCAAATGAGTCTTTAACAGAATGACAGGGAGGCTAACAAATGCTATAGGAAAAGGTTGTGACTCAGGTTCAACATTTCTCACCTCTCCAGCTGCCTGCACACCTCATCAGACAGCTCAGCCAAGATGCACTGGGATTGTCACATTTCCCCAGAAAAGCAAAAAAACCTTCACATTGACAAACCAAAAAGACTGCAGATCCAGTTCCTCAGAACTGCCTTAATGCTATGTTAAGTTTCTGAGCTATGCACATAGTTTTTTGCCAGCCTAGTGAAGTTTTATCTGTTAAACAGATTTATAATTCCCCCTTACAATGCCACCAGAAGTTGGAACTCTTGGAGTACAGAATCCAAAGATCTAAATGATCACAACAAATGCCATGTGACTGGAAAATCCCCTTCCCCAAGCCATGATGTGGTGTTGCACTGCCACGCTGTGCTTACCAGAGCTGGGGAGAATGGTTCTCCATCTCTGGCATTTCCAAAATGAAGCAAATGGCAACCATCTCAAGAAAACAGCTTAAGTAGAAGCTGTGAAAAATGTAGTCTCAAATGAGTGTTCAAAGTACCAGCACCCTCTTAGCCACTTCTTTCCCCTCCTTCTGAACATGCTAATGATTTTCTCTTTGCTCCAAAGAGATGGGACTGTCTTCTGTTTCTGAGTTTTGAGTCAGGGAATTAACTCTTCCTTGGTCAGGACCAGTCCCCATTTCCAACCCATGGAGGCAGAGAAGTAAAATCTTAGCCATGCCGAAAGCTCTGCCCCTCCATCTCCTCTTATTGGAAAGCATCAGCCCCTCTAAAAGCATGCAGGTTAATGGGAGAAAAAGGATTTCCTGCTCCCAACATGTGGGAATGCAATAGCTGCCAGCAGGAATTGAAACCAAGATCTCATATCTTGGAGACCACTCTTCATACTCATCTGCACTTCATTAGTTCACCTGCAAGGATGTTACAGAAGACAGCACCAAACAGCTCTCTGAAGTTGAAGTAACATCCACAGCTCTTGCTTCTTCCACTAATTTGTTGTACAAAGCTATCACGTTAGGCAAGCATTATTTCCCCTTTGTGAATCCATTCTGACTACTCCCAGTCACCCTTAAATAATCTGTGTGACAGCAAGGAGACACAGCTTTGGCTTTTCTAGCTGTGCAGGTGACAAACGGAATGACAGTTTGAGCAATTAAAACAGCTGCAATCTTTAAACAATTTGTAAACGTGTTAGGACAACAGAAAGCTTTTAAGTCAGAAAAATGTAAAAATAAACTCAGAGAAAATAACAGAAATACATCCCTCTGAATGCTAAACTGTGACTGAGGTGAAATAAAATACCCTTGATAACATTTCAGGGAAATACATAAAAAGAACAGGAGTAAAACTCAGCATTTCTGGTCATAGCTCATGCCGGATTTTGTCTCCAGCAACACAAAATGGGAGTCATAATAAACATATCATAATGAACAGTCACAAAGTAACACACTAGAAAATGCTTTCATCACCACTTTAACCCTCTCCAGTTAATCACACTTTTGTTTGCTCACGGCTGCCAGGAATGAAAGCCATGTCCTTTGAGCGCACCCTAGTGAAAATAGTGCTAATGCCTTTTTTCTGGTTTGAAATCTTGAAAACGTCGATCCCTAACAGTGTTTTGCTGCTTCCACAAAAGGGCCTCAATTCATTTCTTTTCCTTTTTGTACTGATGCAATGCTACTGCCGTTACGGAAAAGGTTCTTTTGTTCCCTCCTCTGGGCAGGACCACCTCCCACTAGCCCAGGTTGCTCAAAGCCTGGCCCTCATCCAACCTGGCCAGGGAGGGGGTGTCCACTGCCTTTCTGGACAATTTGACTGATTCTCTGTTTTTGGGAAATATAGTTAGCTGTTCCTGTTCCTGTGTAATTCCTGGAACTTCATTTGACTGTCCAACTGTGATGTGCACTTGCGTCCTCTCATATCTAATCTCTAGGCTAACTTAATTACAGAATTACCCGTACCTACGGATGACTCTCCACTGCTTGAATGAGTATCAGGAAGAAAAATAAACACCCACTGCCTTCTCAGATGATACAGTACCACTAACGAACGCCCTGAAACTCCTGCTTGTTCCCAAGCCCTGCCCCAGTTTTCTTTAGCTGCTGAGCCATGCAGGGCCCATGCAAACACCCCCAAGCTAACACATGCACCTCAGCATAAAACAGCTCCAACCAAGACATGGCACCTACATAGCACTGCTCATGGTTCCCAGTCCAAGCTGGGGTCTACCAGTGCTTCTGCATCTCCAAGCCAGTAGTGGTCCTGCTATCACCAGCTCATCTCTGGTTTTGTAATGCATGTGAAGAACCATGCTTGAACTAACTAAACCAGCAGCTGGGAGAGCCCACACTACAATTGAAAGCTGACAGTACGCATCACTCAATTGTAACTGTTCCGCTCAAGATCCTAGAAGAACACATCCACACCTACTGCTGAGGTCAAAAAAACAGACTTCATGTGGCTGTTACCTCTGTCAGGGAGGGCACAGTCCCTGTTTCTAATCAGACGCAAACAGCCCAGTCAGTAGTACAAAGGCAAACAAAAAGTACATTTCATCAAGCAAAATTTTGCTCAGGAAGGAGCAATCAGGCAACAACCACAGTGCCTGGCTCCAGCCAGCTTTCTTCTCGTGAAAGAAGTATCAGTTACATGCTGGCAGGGCGCGTGGACTAAATGTGTGTCTCCTCTTAACTTTTCCCTCCTATGTCACAGCCTGCTTGGGCTGTGGAACCAACTGAAAACAAACACAACTAAATCCTTCTCTGGTCAGTTAAGGGCTTACATACCTTATATATTCCTTCCCACTGCTGTGGAATTCAAGGAAAGCAATCTCATAGGCAGCACTGCATGAATAAGACAGAAAAGTCTTGGTTTTAAGTGCAGGGGCATTGATGAGTCACGCTGTCCATCAGACACAGTATGCACAGTCATACATTTTTTCCAATCAATAAATGCAATACATTTAAGCTTTCCCTACACCTTGACTTTAGTAACATGGGAGGGAGTGGAAAAACAACAGCAACAGTTATGCAAAACCGAAGTATTTTATTTCTGTCAACTTAGTATTTCATTTTTAAAACATCCTACAAAACCACTTCAGAGGACTGCATCTCCTGGAGAATGTTTCCCATTTGTTACTATGACTACTCAAAATACAAAAAAAAAGTTTGAAAGTTGTTTTAACCCAAAGCTCTTGAAGTTAACAGTGTAAAGTTTAACCTCTGCTGTAACTGGACACTACAACAAGAAATTGTAGGTACTTTCCAAATTGTTAGTAACATTAGATAAAATATCATGCAACAGTGCAGAATTGCAAAATATCTCAATGGATTGCATCTGAGAATGAGGATGGCACTTGTAAATAAAAGCCTATAAATAAACCACTGTCAGCAAAATAAGTAAATGGTTACATTATGTCAGCACTTGTATTAAATAACATTTAGTAAAGTAATATGCCATACGAAAATAACTCTTTAGAAAGGCTGGAGTAGATATATTCACTGAATACTTTTGTACTAAGGCATACTATGAATGGAAGTGTTTATAGCACGCATCTTTTCTTTGGTACAATGCACATAAAACGAATCAAAGCTGGCCACATGTACATGAAGCAAACGTGCATCAGGGCAGACACATACAAGAAAGTCCACAGACAACGACTGCAACTGTCGCACCATGTGCATGCTGCACAAACTTAAGAACTCTCTCGTAGCCTCCAGCAACCAAGAGAGACTGTCCAATTCCTTTAGTAAGAAACTGCAACTGCTTGACCTCCAAAACCATACTGTGCATCACAGCTTCCCCAAAATAAAGTATCATTCTTCCACCATTGGTATTATGTAAAGCTGGAACTGAAAAACAAAAGCAAGCATATGAATTGTAACATATTCTGAAGAAATAAAACTAAGCCAGAGAAAACATCTGGAAATCTCCTGAACTTGTGAGTTAATCACAACAGTACAGGTTACAACTTTTGTTACCCATAATTCCTTTTCCAAAAAAGAAAAATAATTTAAAAAAAAAAAAAAAAAAAAAAGTAGTCTAGGATTTGGAATTCAGTGGCATTATTTGAAATGCAATAAAATTTGTCAAAAACCAGAAGCAAGCTCCTGGCATACATCCCAAAATGAAATGCTTCAAAGCTGTCTTGTTGATATTTGTGGAAGTACGTGCACCCAAAGCTTCTGCAGGTTTTCATACTCCAGGAGTTATGCATAACTTGTGTACAAAAGATCTGCTTTTAAGTGCCACGAGATATTAACAATATCACATCCACAATAAAACACAAACCTATCAGGAACAGAAAATAATAAACTGATGACATCTGTTATTTACATTATTTAATGTAATGTCTATAAATGAAGAAGATGAGCATGTTTATTCTGGAGACTACTTCTGAATGCATCTCTAAAATTTCAGAGATTATTCAGGCTTTTGCTTTGGTGTGGAGATGGAAAGAACATCAAGTGAAGCGTGCATCAGGTCATACTCTGTAGACAATGTGATTTTTAGAGCCAATTTTATTAATCACTCCTCAGAGAAGTCTGTAACATAGTATTATGGGACAGCAGCAGACAGGTCACTTCACAAAGCTGATGCAACCTACATTCAAAATCTGAACACTGCTGCAGTCAATACTATTTCTGGAATCCCTTGGCTGACTTTCTCTCCCTCTCTAACTTCTCCCTCTTGCTCTGCTTGTGACCATTCACAGTTTCTTCCTTTGTGATGTCAAAACACAGCAGTTCAAGTCGAAAACCTTTGTCCCTTCACGGGGGGGAGAGTGGAGGGTGGGGGAAAAAAAAAGAATGCTCACAGAATATACAACAATTACACTCAATGTTAATTTTAGAGTCAGAGATCCAAGCATGATAGAATTTCAAGCACATAACAGAATAGGAACACATTTGCTTCTTCTCTAAAAGACGAGTAGAATTTATGCTACAAAAGTGAAAGATTTTTCTGTTGCTATCTCTGATGACTAACAGCACTTACTTTTTGCGGTCCTTGTCTCTCTTCAAGCTAACAGGAGTAGAGACCATTGGCTGTGTTTGGAGTAATTCAGCATTAGCTTTCTTCATGTTAAACAGAGCGATTTCTTCTTCTAGAGCTTTTCTCTTCTTCTCTAATTTCAGTTTCTCTTCTTGATGCATTAGCATAAGATGTTCAAACTTAGCCTGTATCTGTACAAAGAAAGCACAGAAAATGCATTTCCAACTAGTAACACAAGGTGGTGATATCACAGTACAAAAACACTGCTATTACAGTAAGAACTACCTCAGCTAATGTTGAAACTACAAAAAATTGCATTCTTTCCCAAAAATCAGAAGAATATATCAGATTTATATTGTATTTTTCCGATGGATGCCAGGCTAGCACACGCAAAGTGAGGGTGGAAATGATGGAAGACACTACATTAGTATTAGATCTACTGCAGGATGTACCTTTCTTAGATCAAAAACAAGGATTACTTTAGAGAGGAAGCAAAAATATTAAATCAGAATGTGTCAAGCAGAATCCACTTTCCTAAACCAAGCGGGCAAGAAACCATGTATACTTCTGTTATATAGGGTATGTGTTTTAATATGTTTATTAATTACATGTATGTATTAATATGTATACACACAATTAGGTTGGGGAGTTACTTGTTACCTGCCAGAAGTTAACTGCTTTTCTGCAACCAAAAATCTTTGGGTTTTCTGATGTATTAATGGATTCTATCCCTGGGATGTATTTGGTTTGTTTAAACACTTGTTAATTGTGCATGGTAACCAAGGAGTACTGCCTGCCTCCCTTTCTCACCTCCCACCTACCCCTGCTTTGGTTTCCTTCTGACCAGCTGGATCAAGATGCTCATCTGGCTGAAAACTATAACCCTACCAAAATACCCTTGGATTTCAACTATGTCATTTCTCTGATCTAACTAGTAACATTAAACACATAGAATCTACATGCACAGCTTCAGACTCAAGTGAACTAAAGTGCTTGCTGAGGTACAAAGCTTGTGCCCCTGAATTATGTCAGTATAGAATCACAGAATCCTTAGAGTTGGAAGGACCTTTAAAGATCATCTGTTCTAACTCCCATGCAATGAACAAGGACATGCACAGCTCCATCAGGTTGCCCAGGGCCTGATCCAGCCTTGCCCTGGAAGTCTCCAGGGATGGGACATCCACCCAATCTAGGCAACCTGTTTCTGAATACAAAAGTGGTATAACTAAATCTGAGCACAGCTATACTGGTACAAAAGTCAGATTTATTTCCTTGCACAGAGAAAGAACAAAAATAATACTATAAATGTATCAGTATGCCTACCCTACACAATAGAGCTGTCAGGCTTTATAGATGTGCGTGTATGGACGTATACTATTCATCATTTATTTCATTACTACAATTAATCTGATGCATTGCAATAAAAAAATAACTCAGGGTATAAAACATAAGGTCCTAAAGCAAGTGTACCACTCCAGAGCAGTAATGCTGCACGTTGTAAGTACAAGTTTCCTCTAAATGAAGGACACAAAAGCTATCCTGACTACAACAGAAACTCCTGGTTTTTTTTATATATACATACACACTTCTAGGAGAATGAGCAGCAACAGGATATATGACAAATGTTCTTTGCAAGTGACTGCATTATTGTTTCCTCACATCAGGAACTGGGAAAATAAATATCCATAATTCAATTGCAATATGCAGAGTTCACAGAAACTGCACAGTATAAAGCACAGAAGGAAACACATCAAAGGGTATTACAGACAATGTGTAAAACCTAGCTGTGTCTATTTTGAACACAAACAAGTATTATTCCAATTGGACAGCCTCATACTGAGAATGACTGAACCTGCTACTCTTCACCACTAGCATAGGGGACTACACAGGTTCAGAAAATACAGTATATTTAGTCTCCTTCATACTTAAAATGTGCATCTGAACATACTATTATTGTAATATAAGACTGAGCTCCTTCTTCAATCTGCAAGTGAAAAGAACTCATGGGACATGGCAGGAAGGGATCTCAGACAACAATATTTTTCTGTTTAAAATCTACCACAAAACTCAATTCTACTGTAATGGACAAAAAATAATAAATGTAATTGCATGATTCATTAGTGATGAGGCCATGGTTAGCTGTCATAAATTGCTGTAAAGTGACTTTTAGAGGCCCCAACAGACAGACTACTCTTCCAGCAACCTAAGTCTGAAAAGCACCTGCTGCACCGATATGACAAACAGATGACCATTATATTCATCACCATATTCCTTCCTACTGTCTTGTCCCAGCTATCAACTAAACCCTGCACACCACAACCTCTCTCATTCTGTAAAGGTTTGCCATTTATTTCTGAGCATCTAATCAATCTGCTAAACTAATCTTTGTAGTCAATCTGCTTTTGATTTTAAGCATTACTGCCACCTATTAGAAAATCAGAAATATCAACTAGTTTTTAATGATAACGTTGCATATCTCAGCACACAAACTCAAGACAGACCAGCATGCTTACTCGTTGCTCTGCTTCTTTCAACACTGCTTCTTTCTCCTTCACTCTCTGCACAAATTTCTGCCTCGTCTCCTCTTCTCTTCGTTGCAGCTCAAGGTAGAACTTGCGCCTCTTTGCCTCATAGGCTTCCTGCAGACTGAAGTCCAAAAACATAAGCAGGTCTCCAGCAAACTGTTCAATTCCATGTGAAAAACTAACAATCTGGAACATTATTTAAACAAATCAAATGCATCTGAGATATAAAGTATCATAGTTCTCCACGTAATAATTCATAGACTTCGGCAGAAACAGGTTTCTGAGCTTTCTTAGCTCTTATTTAAGTAAACAACCTTGCAAAACCAAAAAATATCAAAGCTAACAGTACTTTAATTTTCAAAGTAAATAAAACACTTGAGAAATCTCACATTCTAGTTGTAGCTTTCAAGTAAAAATTATTCATGCTGGAGGCAGAAGTTAGTTATTAATCAAGACACCGAAATTGTGAGAAAAAATCCTCCCTCCCAAAACTTCCACATTGTGAAACCTCAGCCTTAATACAGGACATTACAAACACAATGCATCTGGACACAACTACTGATTGCTCACTCATTATGTTATTTATTCATCTACCTGCGTGTCAGACATTTTCTCCAGAAACAATACTGAAAGCTTTGAGGAAATCCAGAAAGATGACACAAACCAGTTCCCTTTGGTCAACTGAGTAGGTAACCTTGTCATAAAAGGACATTAAGTTTGTTAAACAGGACTTTACTCTGTAAGCCCATGTTGGCTGTGACCCATAACTGTGTTGTCTTTCAGGTGTTTGTCAATAACTCCCACAGTAATACTCTCCATAATTTTGCCAGGCACTGAAGTGAGATGGACAGGTCTGTAGTTAGCAGGGTCTTTCTTCTTGCCCTTCTTGAAAACTGGAATAATGTTAGCCAGTTTCCAGTCAACTGGGATCTCTGCAGATTCCCAAGGTCATTATAAAATAATTGAGACAGATCCCACGATGACATCCTCAAGCACTTCCAGTATTCCATGTTTTTCCTTCCACTTTTTCCAAACTTACTCTAATAGACATTCCAATATGCAAGACAATTTTCTTGCCATTGAAAAACAGGTACTCAAAACTGAGAAATTTCCTTTGTATCCATGCATATCATAGCAAATTAAAATATGCTGATAATTCACACAAATACTATCACATAGTTGATACTTTCAGGGAATATACCACCACTTTCTCTGCTTGGGAAAAAAGGAATACAGCCTGTGTACGCGTGTATCTCCTATCCCAAAGAACATGGTAACTCCAAAAAGCAGGGCACAGTAACTTCAAAAAGCATACCTGTTTAGTGCTACAAATTTTTCCAACAAAACTTTTACAACTTCTTTAAATCACGATTCCACAAAAGCAAACATGGAGGATCAGAGCTGCAATTATGGTTATGATAAAACCAAAAGGATCTTTCCAGTATCTTGCAGGGGAAAAGGACATACAGAAATATCAGAACAACTCCCTCTTTATTCTGGGGCTGCTCTTGTAAACCATTCAACACTTCCTTAAAACTGACTAGTCAGCCTCTCAGATATCACCAATTACTATTACTTTTGCTTGCTGTCTTTCACGTCCTTCACTCTGATGTAAAATACGTTTATATATATATATTTCTTACATTAAAAACATATATAAAATACTTAAAATTGCTTTATATTCTTTACTGCTTTATATTATTTATTTAAAATTAAATGCATTATACACACACTTTTGTACCGAGTTTGAAGTCTCACTCTTAGTTTTTAACAATTTTTATTGAAAGGATTTATAAATGGAAAGATGAAACTGGACAACTAAAAACTCAATTATTTAGAGCAACAGGAAGCTAAAATCTCTTTCTTCTGTATTTGAAGATGACTGAACAGTTTCCCAGTCCTAAAGTTACTTACTTTTATTCAAAATATAACCTAAGAAGACAGAATAATCATCTTGAAATTGCACATGCAGACTTAAAATTCTGTAAAATCATGAAGTCAAAAAGCTCTTTTCCTATCCAACAGTATCTGAGTGATACTTTGCAACCAAATGAGTTCAGCAGAACTTTCTGCTTTGGTTTGATTTGGGTTTTTTTGTTTGTTTGTTTGTTTTTAATCAATGTAGGTCCTAGCCTAGTATCTGCCACTTGAAATACGGACATGGTTTTCACACTACCTTTGAGTTCAGACAGCACATGCAATAACAATAAAGCTACAGCACAGGTTATTCAAGTGCCAGCAGCCTCGCTGTGTGTCGCAAGCACTCTGCCTTTGGGTGTAATACAGCAAAAAAGCTAAAGCAAAAACTTGACTAAACTAACACACTGCACTTGCATCTTTATGTCAGTATGTGGACATCTTCAGACTCAGTTTAAGGTAGTTTATCAGATAAAACCAAGTAAAGGAGAAATCTTGATATCAGTAATAGATTAACCTTGCAGACATTGGGTTTACCTCACAATCAAATTACATGTTTAAAAACTATGAAAAATTAATTAAAAAAAAAAATCATGCATTCTTCTCGGTTGGACCTCAATAATTTTATACCTTGTACTCTGTGAAGAAAGCATATGCTTTACTAACCTGCTACATGGCTCCTAACAGCACTATCACCTACCTTTCTATGGGAGAAAAACTGTCACAAATAGTTTTCTTATTTGCATAAGTCTTAGAACATGGAAGCCCAAAAATAAAGATGCAAATCAAGCACAATCTGTTCATAAACTAAGACTCTAACTGAAGTGAAATTCATAGCTTGGTGGAACACAACTGTTGGGTGTTTTGTTGACTCTGGATAAGAAAGACACTCAAACAGTTTTGCAGTTTGTTCATTTAAAACTTAGAACAATATTCGAGTTTGAAAAATATTCCTGGAACTTTCTATATAACATTTCAATATCAGTGAAATTGTATCATAAAAAAGAACGTTAACTAGTAGCAGGTATCACTAGCACAGTCCCTTGACTCAGTGAATTATGTTGATATGAAGCAACATTTAGGATGTGTCAGATCTAAATAATTACCATTTTCCCAACAAAGGCTTGAAAAAACATGTATTTTGGCTGGAGTTCAGTCTTCCCGTACAGAGGTTAAAGTATTTAGCTCACACACAAGGATCAACACTTGGTCAGATGAACTCCAATTCCAGGGGACTTTTTGAGGAAGTCTAATAGACTTTTAAATAGGTTGTCTTCCTTCCTTAGAAAAGACAATTTGAATCATATCAATGTTCCTTTACATGGGAACTTCTTATTGAATCCTTCCTGTTCTCTTTTCATTCTCAAAACAGACTGAAAATAAACATGTTTTTGTTCTAGAACTGCCAGGTTTGAATATTCCAGTTTTAGGGAGGAATAAGAGAAGGTTCTTCACATACTGAGAAATTGAAGCATTTAAGATGAAGAAACTGTACCTTCTGAACACAGAAAAACAACTACACTAGAGAATAATTAACATCAGAGAAACGGAACACGCAAGCAAACAGCCCAAATATCAACCTTTTTTCAACAGACTCTTGCCTATCAATTTTCTTTTTTCCAAACCAAGAATGCTCCCTGAGGCAACAACACAGTTTGCAATCAAAAGTGGACTAACAAAACACCCAAATTCAATAATATAATAGTCCTCTCCTCCCCTGCAAACATCTAAGCTTTCCAGACACACACATATATATATTTTGACATTTGTTTGGCTGGAAGCAGTCTTGATATCTAGATTGCTGTTTCTTACCGTCCCAAATTTCTCTGTTCTAGGCGTCTCAGCAGTCATCTCTTGCTGAGAATGATTTGAATCTAGGAGGTTGACAACTTTTCAGTCTAAGATTCCCTAGTGGAAGTAAGTAGACCATCAAAATGGCAGGACTAGACAACACACACACACACACACACACACACACAAAGAAAGAAAGAAAAAGGAAAAGAAAAAAGAGATCTTCAGGTATCCCATAAAAAATAAAATTTGATAATGGTTTGGGTTTTTTTTCCACATGGAAGAGTTGAAGCCCTTATGGATATCCAACTATAACCTATCTCAGAAGGTACCTGAAAATCCAAGAATTACTGATGTTGCTTTGTGCTGGCATACAATTTTGGGTGAATAAACTACTATTGTATTTTTAAATCCAAAAGAGTTGCACAAGAACTCCACAAGCAGCTTTTGTACTTCATGCCAAAAGACAGGGCACATCACCTCTTCAAGTGTCAATGTTTAAATGCTACAAACATCAGTGCTGTAACATTTTCTAAATTTCTCATAAAACAATCCAACACAGATTACCAAATTCAGCATGTAGGCAGCTACATCACAGGCATAAAATGTGACTTTTCAATATGAATTCAGATCACTATTTATATAAGACATGAAATTCTAACAGTCGGTCATATACTGCTATTTGTATTATTTGTAGACTAAAACTAAACCTCTTACAATTCCTGAGCATGTAACTGTAAACATATTAAAGGACAAATAGCCCCTATTCTGACAGAAACTTAAATTTGCAAGTCAGAAAAACAAAAACCATTGAGCTTCCTCTATGGAAAGTGACATTTTTTCATCACATGCTGAGCATAACGCAATTCATGGTTTCATCAGCAGCTTCATAAAGCACCTTATGGATGAGGTTACTAATTATGTCACATACAGATCTGCTATATTCTCTTCCCTTTTTATGGTATCATAAAATGTCTCTCTCAAATGACCAAACGCCTTCCCTTTCAGACCTCAGTGTCTTTCACTGTGCCACACAACTAAGGGACAAACACACATCCTAGATCTGGTCCCACTTGTTTCTTCCTTTCTCTGTAAACCTGGGAAAAAGTGTATGTTGCTGGATTTGCATGCAATACTATTCTTATCCTTCCAAAATAATTATATTTCCAACAAAAGTGATTTGCCAAAACTGATTCTTAAAGAGTACTGTCTTGCCCCAGCACTCTTAATAAGCTGACATTTAGTGGCCCATGCATAAAAATCACACACCAGAGGGAAGTAATCTTTTCTATAACTTCACTAAATCAACTTCTAACATGTAAAATAAGACAACATTCTGACGTCAAAGCAGACCACCCTGCTACTTTATGTTGTTAATAAAGTGTCAATTGTTTAAGGGTTCTGCAAAGACAACTCTTGTATCTGTGGAAAAAAAATATAGTTCTGAGGATATTATTTTTTTTAATTTAAGAATTCTTATTTTGAAATGGCTGTACATTGTGAAATTCAAGTTCAGGAAAACAAAAGGTACTGCAGTCAATATCCCCATGAACAAATCTATATGCTTTTCTTTGACAAAGAAAATAAGGTATCAGCTGTTAGAGTGTGTTCTCTAACCCAATGAAAAGTCTATGGTCAATTACAGTGGGCTTTAAACCTCATTCACCTTTGGTCTATATGTATGAAAAGGATTTATTCCTTTCTTTTTAAGTCAAGACAAATGTCACATTGATTCATGGTCAGCTTGAGATCTAAATGAACTGCTCTTTAAGCATGTCTCGGCATTAAGATTTCACAAAGAAGTGCCCATGTCCAGCATCCTCCTTGACTACATTCTTCTTATTTAATGATCACTTTGAACAATGTATAAGTCAGACCTAGTGAAAGTGAAGGAAATGTTGCTCCATCAACACTCTACAAGTTAGAGTAACTGCAACTTCTTTAGAACTTCTGCACAAAGTAAAGCTGAAAGCAAAGAATTTAAGCCACTAAAAACAATCTGAAGGGAAGCTATTTCTACCAGAACACTTAAATACGTTCTGAATCGCTATGTGAAACAAGTTAAAAATCCAATTGGTTCCATGTATTAGAAACTGTTTTTAATGCAAATCCATACTTTGTTTTCATGCCTGGTCTAAGTTGGCATTTTCCACAGTGACTATGTGGTAACAGCACTCTGCTAAATCATGAAGACTTTCAAGATTCCCAAGGCATCAGTTTCTCCCCATCAGGATGATAACAATTTGCACACTTACAAAATACAGATCTACATATGAAATGACCAAAGGAAGCTGGAAGAAAGAGAGGAAGGATTTGAAAATAACAGATTAAACAAACTGGATATAGAAATTAGAAATACTTCCTACAGAAAACAGCTTTACTGCATGGAACAGTTGAGTGTCTCTAACCCTTTGCTTTATTCTGGAACAACCTGCAAATAACAACTTCTTACAGAATAGTAAAAGATATCTTGACCCAAAAAGGCTAAATGTTTGTCATTACAGAAGATAAAATAGGAAGTCAACAGTGTAAACAATGATTTTGTAAAAGTTTTTGCTTCAGCTCCTCCTAAATTTTAAGCGCAGCCAAACCATTGCTTGAATCAGACATTATTAAGGAAAAAGTAAAACAGCATTATTTTTATAATGATAACATTCCAAAAGGCATACAGTATACATACCTGTGAAAAATGGATATTCTCCACAGTGAAAATTAAAATTCTGAAGTTTTTTATAAAACAGATGTATTTCAGAAATAGAGCTTGTATGCCTGTAAAAGCAACGCTCATATAAACTCATCCACTGCTCCATGAAGATAAATGAATGAACATGTACCTACTTACACTGGTTTAAAATAATAATAATAATATATAAACATTCTCTCTCTCTCTCTCTCATAAGAACTGTTCTAACTATGAACCTTGTTTGGTATTGTGCTGATACAGTCAAATATGAAATGAATGAAAGTGGAAAGCCAGTGCTGTACAATAAGACTCTTACCTTACTGGCTTGTTCTCATGGTCAGTGTCTCTGAAGCCCATCTCCTGCAGTCTGCAGCGCCTGTACAGCTCATAATGGCGTGTGTGGGTCTGCTCTATTAAATCTTCCATATTTGTGCAAATAAGCATCTCACGGAGCTTCACAAAGTCACAGTGGTTCTCATTTTCCACTAATCAGTTAAAAGAGGGATCATTATACACAAGTACAGAAATTGTCAAAATATATTTTAAATAGCACTGAGATCCTTCTATTTTGTTTCCTGACTACACTCCCAGGAAAAGGGATCTGTATTTCTTATACCTCCTGCACTTTCTTGTGATATACGTTGAAGCACTAATTGTATGTACCACTGAACATGTTCCAGCATGTCCTGATTTTACATCTGAATTGAGCAACTATTAATTTTTCTTTTTCTCTTCTGACAATCAGTAAACTTTACAATCTGGTAGTGCTAGAGGCACTGCCATAGTATCAGCCAATCCAAATATCATATACAGCAGCTCATGGCTTGATTCCAGGAAAGCATCGGTGTTGGAATTGCAGACTTCAAATATGAATTTCTAAATTCTCTAAGCTGCTTATACAAAATACAATCGATACGACAGTAGTGGCTAATAACAGCTCACAGAATCACAGAATGGCCAGGGTTGGAAGGACCTCAAGGATCATGAATCTCCAACCCTCCTGCCACATGCAGGGCCACCAACCTCCTCGTTTAATGCTACACCAGGCTGCCCAGGGCCCCATCCAATCTGGCCTTGAACACCTCCAGGGACGGGGCATCCACAACCTCTCTGGGCAGCCTGTTCCAGCACCTCACCACTCTCTCCGTAAAGAATTTCCCCCTGACATCCAACCTAAATCTCCCCTCCCTCAACTTAAAACCATTTCCCCTTGTCCTGTTATCAACCCTTTCAAAGAGTTGATTCCCCTCCCCTCTGTAGGCTCCCTTTAGGTACTGAAAGGCTGCAATGAGGTCACCCCGCAGCCTTCTTTTCTCCAGGCTGAACAAGCCCAGCTCCCTCAGCCTGTCTTCGTAGGGGAGGTGTTCCAGTCCCCTGATCATCTCCGTGGCTCTCCTCTGGACCTTCTCCAACAGCTCCCACGAATATCAATGAATCTTACAGTTAAAAAAGACCATAAAAATATGCAGGTCACTCCAAAAGTAATGACTTTTATTAATTTCCATGGAAATGACAACAAATACAAAGAGCACTATAACGCTATTTGATAGAGCCCATTCTAAGCTACAAAACACTCTTTTTCAACATAGACACCACCAGTAGCTATGCATTTTCACCAGACCCTATGTGCCATGCTTGTAAAAATCTGTATCAGCAGAGGTGACCCACTGCTTCACAGCTGCTGTAATGGCAGTTGCTAAGAAAATGTTGCCCATGCAGTCCATTTTTCATCCGCGTGAACAGATGGAAGTCAGAAGGTGCCAAATCTGGACAATACGGTGGGTGTGGTTATCTTTTTCTCTAGAAGTTCAAGGCTTCAGCTTAGTTAGCAATTGCAATGTAGCCATCAGTTGATGGTTTGCCCAGGCTCCAGGAAATCCAGAAGGAACAACCCTTTCCTATTGAAAAGACACTGCACATCACTTTACCCACTGAGGGCTGTGTCTTGAGCTTTCTCATAGCAGTGGCACCACATCTCATAACAAGTAATGATGTAAGCCAGGAAACTATCACCTTAAGCCCAGTTTTGGTTCAGTAGGTCCTGACAAACTTGCATACTGTGTTCTTTCCGTCCCTGTTTGAGCATTCATGGGACCCACTTGGCGCACACTTAGTGTTATTCCGACACTGCCACCATCACTGAAGCTGATACTCAGCTCCATATACATTTCCCAGGTCGTAATCTACCCATTCACATGGATGAGCTAATTGAAATGCTCTGCATCTTGTTGAGAACTGCTGTGCATGGCCATTCAGAACACGACTTGTCTTTCACGTTGCTGCTGCTATTGCTGAAATGCAGCACTCACTACTTCACTCCTCACATCCACTGTTATGGTATCTAGCAGTGTTCAGCAAGTGTTGATGAATCTGCATGGAGGAATTCAATGACAGACCTTTGCTTCATGCATATTTCCATGTCAGATGCCATTGTTTCAGACTGCCCCTCTGCTCTCATGTATGACATGGCAATAAAACGTAAACAAATACTGGCAGTAAGGTTCAACCTCTACTGCTATCCCACCAACATTTGCCTCTTACATTGTAAGCCAACAAAATAAAACATGACGCACTACTTTCAGAATGACCTGTAGATTTTTATGGTCTTTTTTAATTATAAGATTCACTGATATTTATAGGGGCTGTTATTAGGCACCACTGTTATACACTTGAGAATTCATTTACCTTGTACAACGCCCCAAGGGTACTGACGAGCTTTCACCATTTTGTTCCCAATTTTCACCACTTCTGTACTTCCCACTACAGCAAAAGGTAAATGCCCCTGCAAGAGTCACACCAACACAGCCTTATCTCTCAGTGTTCTTACGTAAGAACTGAAAAGCAAGCAATCAAAAAATAAACAAAGGGTAAAAAAAATCTATCACACAAGAAGCAAATACAGCTAGAATGCTCAAAACACTCAGGTCCAGCTTCACAGACTCAGTTTAAGCTGACAAGGTAGATCTGAAAGCACAACAGTGAAAAAGCTTGGAGTGCACCTGACTTTGTGAATCCTAAAGAAAATCTGTTCTGATAATGAAGGAAAGTAACAAAAAAAAAAAAAAAAAAGAAAGAAAAAAGAAAAAGAAAAAGCAAACAGAAAAGAAAAAGCAAACAGAAAAAAAGTCCTGCAGATATAGAAAACAGAGAAAACTGGACAAATGAGTCACCTGACTATCTTCTCTAACATATGTAAGGTATTATTCACTTTAGAAAAGAGCAAATCAGTTTATCTATGTTAGTAGATGCACATTAAACATCCAGAAAAAGGAAAAGTATTTATGAGTGAGATCCTCTTTCCAGAACCAGAAAACAAAGAGCTTCATAAAACAAGCAGCATCAACAGCAAAGGGACAGGGAAAGCTGGGAGATGGGGTGAGCCCAAAAGCATGGGAGACATTTAAAGAAAGAGAAAATAAATAACCAAAAAATTGAAAAAAATACAAAGCCATAATCCTCAACACAGCCACAGAAGAACAGGCATGAATCAGTGTTACAGTAATGCTTTAATACTGAAATACTGACATTACTGCCATTTACTTACATTCATGATAGTGTTAATTTGAGAAACGACTTCATCGTCAGTTGGAAACTGGTATATATGGATACCACTGCTAACTAATTCAGAAATGAGTTTCCTCTTGAACTGCTGCAGTTCTGTTTTAGAAATGCTGTCTGCTTTGCCTATAAGTGGTATAATGTTTACCTATTAATGATAAAATACATGAAATCTGTAAGACACCAATTTTGAGACAATAACATTAACAAATTTCTTTGTTATAAGCTCTTCAAAACTACCCTTGCAATCTAAACTTTTCCATCAATATCTGATGGATCCAAAGAAAACTTCACAAATCATTAAAATATATTCACTGCCACCATTTGAAAACAGTAACACTTTATTTAACATAATTCCTCATAACTAACTCTGAGAATTAGGAAGGAGACTTCATACAGCATATCACTCAAAAGAACAGCAATGCCTACATATTACCAAAATGTCATGATGTATTTATACCTCTGTTTAAGAAATGGAATTTTTGGTTTATAGCAGTTGGGGACATGTCAGGTATTAAATGTTAAATGCACAAAGAAAAGACTGCCAACACCTCAGCTTCTCTTTGGGTACAACAATTCCTCTTCATCTCATTACTGTCACCCATAGCTCTTACTCCATTAGCACGGCAATGAGTTTGACATGTAGCTGCTGAAGGCAGAACATCTAACAATGAAGAATCTCACCTCTAAGTTGTTGCAGTAGTTACTCAGAATTCTAAATTCAATCCTAATGCTGTAAGTTGACCTATCTGCTAAAATAGTTATGACAGTAACTGAGTACTGACAGTACTGAGTACAGTATTAAGAATAATTCAGTATCTATGACCATCCTACCACCCCTTTCAGAACAGGATACCAAGAATTAACGTCCAAAATTCTGGTAGATCATTGCAATTCTTCCAGATTTCGGTGAATTTGAGAGTTCTGGATGGTTCCTTGATTACAGAAACACAAAAAAAAGGAAGAAAAACACACACACACCCCATTTTGTATTGTTCTGACCATTATGCCTGAATGGAACTTCCACAGCTTGAACTTTCAAAACTCCATTCAGTAATTTTTCTGAGACTGCAAAGACAGCAAAAAGACTTCAAGAAGACACTGATCTGTGTCAGGAGGGCAGGAAAAAGTAATAGTAAGCACTGAGTCAAATAAACAACCTCCCTAGAAAGATAACTTAGCTGTGCTAACAACTGCTTGCAAAGCAGATATATGTAACGCCTACCACATCAATGTTTCAGAAATATTTCAGGGAAGTGAATTTTGTGCAGTTCACCTAATTTTAGATAAAATAAATGGTGTTACAATTTCAGAAAAAAAATCTCTCAAAATCAGTATCATTAAAACAAACCATTTTATTTTTTCAGCTAGAAGTTTCTTACCCTCGTTCACTTTGACTTCCTGCCTCTAGGGTTCCTCCCTCCCCAGTTTCCTCATATTAACACTAAAGTACGACTTCTAAGATTAACTGGTGATATTCCTGCAACCTAAGCATACATGTGCTTAAATGAAAATGCTACATACATTATTTTGATGACTGATATAACTTAGGATTGTATAAACAACCTGATACAGCTAGTAGAAATCCAAAGCTTCTGCTAAATTAGCTGAGATACACTGATCTAGGTTTTCCACTGCACAGCTTTAAAAATGGATGGAAGAGTCCTCAGACTTTAGTTAAGGCTTCTTCTTCGCCTTCTCAACATAAAAGGTTTTCAGGCCCTTCTAACTAGGAGAGATTGGTAATGAATAGCAGGGAGACATTGCTGTGGAGACAAGTAACAAAACAAAAGCAAGATCACTGCAAACTGAGTCTAGTTATCAATACTGATGTTAAATCATACCTGACATTAAAATGTTAAAGCAGCACTATCGTGGCTTTAGATAAGCAACAGAAATAGTCTTTTTAATCTGTTAAACAAGACTTATTTCTACTTGCAGCTCCTAAGGTTTACTTGACAACTAGTATCTCAGTACTTTCATCCAAGAACAACACTAATTGAAAGCATGCACTGAACTGTACTAACAGGGGACTTGAACTATATTGAGCTGGACTACATCCAGATGTGCTCCAAGTCCCAGTGCTTCCATCTATGCCTGCTGCTCACTTGGGCACAAGCTAATTCCTTTCAGCCTCTTCCCGAATCACAACTCCCCCTGCACAAAGCTGAATTCTGAATTCCATAGGCCAAATCACAGAATCACTTCACATGAAGTCAACACCTGAAACTAAAGTAGCAGTTTTCATCTTCTCCCCTTGCGTGTAGCAGCTCCTTTCCAGGCAGAACTAAAATCTGCACAGCTCTACAAGGAGACAGATTACTTTTCAGCTTGATCAGTTTCCTAACTAGGCAAAAATCTTTAGTTTTCAGTTTAAATCAGTCCCCTCATCCAGGAAACTGACTGAGGAAAACACTTAGCATGCACAATGTGAAGGAGCAGCTGAGATTGCTTCTTTCAAACAGCAGTGCAGACTTACTGAAGTTTAAACTTCAAGAAGTAGCTTAAAAGTAGTTCAACTAAAACAACTACAAAAAGCCACTGGAATAAAGGTTTTTCTTTATCCACGCACATTGTTTTGCTGTGTGCTAGCACCAAATTCAGCCCCTTGATCATCCTTCATATCCATGACATGAAGTATCACTTTCTTCCCTCACACTTAGAAAATACACTATTTTTTAAAAATTACTATTGTAATGTAACACCTTACATTAATGTCAAAGCATCTGTTGCTCCATTATGCTATAGAGAATGAAAAAAAAATATTTATACTTGAAATTATTATTGGTTGGTATTTGGCACATTTACTTAAGTATATTTGAAGGTGTCCTCATGTTAAGAAGTACACTTACAGCTCATGTACAGGAAAAAGAACACGCAAAAAGTAAAACACAAACTAAAAGGCAATAAGAACACTGCAGTATTCTAAATTCTTAATATTTTAACAGAAAATAGAATTCTTCTCTCTTATCAAACAAGATTTCTTAAAATGGCTCAAATATTTAGCTTCTTCCAATTCACACAAACCCATTCTAAGAAGAATTGTAAAAATTCAGAAAGTGCAAATAATCACTAGAAACTATTTTAATGGTTGCAAAATTAATCAATATGTGTAGTTTAAAACATTAACACAGCCCATCATAGAGAAGTCAGGCTAGTGGAGCTCACAGCACTCACCTCTTCAGCTATTTACAACAAATGCCTTTACAGTGCTGCAACGTTTTCTATAAGCCAATTTTCCAGCAGCCTCAAAACCTGATAGTGAACTAGAAACTACAAACTTCATTAGAAACATTACAGTACTCATGGAAGGTATCCTATCCAACCACAGTAAGATGTTAAGAGGTTGTTTCTCTGTGTTCTTCCCATTTGTGAATAAATAAGTGATGAACTGTAAACTTTTTGTTGAACGAAGTGGTTCTGAAGTTAAAAAACAAACAAACAATCTCCTAAAACCAATCACACAGATTTGGAATGAAGTGTTGGAAGCAGATTTATAAGCTTCAGGATGAGTCAGAAAACAGAACAAGTCCTAAGAGCTGTTTCAAAGTCTTACCTTGCTGTCCAGCCTTTTCATGGTTAACAAATCTAGAGTCTTTAGGGAATGGCCTGTAGGTGAAATGATGTAGAGGCACACATGGATGCGAGTATCGTGGTAATTAAATATAGAACGTTTAATTTTCAGTTCTTCTTGGAGATAGGCTTCAAATTGTGCATCTATGTAATCCACTATTGGCTGATAGCTGTAAGAAATAAAATAAAATGAAACAACCAGACATTAGCTACTCCCAAACAGGCTAAGAAAGAAATTAATCTTGTACTGTTGCGTGCATTTTCATTTTACAATTGAACAGGGTGCTCACGTAGCTGCATGATACAGCAGAAAATTAAGTGTACTGATCCTAATTTCTGAGAGGCTACTCCAAAAATAATTGTGCACCTAAAACAGATAAAATACTCTCGAGCTACTATCACTGGGAAAAAAAAAAAAAAAAAAAATATGTAAATATACTTTTGCTTATTAGTTATCTTTTCAAGAGACATTTTATAAACTTTGGCCATGAAGCTGTGCAACCACAGAACACTTAGATTCAAGAAAGACACACAAAACTTCTAGATACAAGAAAGAACATGCAATTACCAGTACCAAGAAATAGGACTTCCAGTATCCTCTGAAGATGAAGTACTGTACATGAGAGAGCTCTTAAACAATAAACAAAAATTGGAAAGGAGGAATGTGAGAGAAGAATGAAAATCTGATTTGCAACATCAGTACAGCTTAAGCAATCTTCATCTGACTTAAAACAAAATTATAATCTGCTCTCAAAAAGAAAGTGTTACCAGATGTCCAAGCAGGACCTCACAGTTTTGCTGCCACAAAAATTTACTAGACCAAGTCAAATGCAAACATAATTCAAAAGCAGTAGTTGTATCCAAAATTAACAAAGGGTTAAAAGGCAGCTTCTTACCATATAATATATCGACACCTCTAGATCTATATTAATATCTACATCATCACACTCATCCAAGTCTCTAGCACTAGCTGTTTTCCCATGATATCTCATGACAATCTTAACGTGATTCTCTAACTTTCATTCATAATTACCACAATTTAGGCACCCATGTAACATGGAGGACTATTAGAATTCATTATAATGAAAGAAAAAAATCTGCTGAGATACAGTTCAATATTTTAAAATCTCCAGTTCATAACAGCAGAGACAAAACTGGCACTGCACTTCTGTATCTTTTGATTAAGCTGACCAACTTAAAGGACTTCAAGAATCCACAAGAATCCTTCCTGTTTGAAGTATTTAATACAATCCAATATTAAAAAAAAAAAAAAAAAAAAAACAGCAAAAACCCACAACCAACAACCTACAGATCTACTCTCTATAATGTAGTATGCATCATAACCTTCTCGGTTGTTTAAATAGTCTCCCGTGGAACTTATCACCCTGCTCAAAAGAATCTCCAGTCACCACTGCACTTCTTATTTACACGTATTTATAAAAGATTTTATTATAAAGAAGGGAGCAGATTTCAGCTGATTTCTCAAACAGTTTCCTAGACAAGAAGGAAAACACTATCTGCTTTGGTACACAGAGAAAACAGTTAACCAAATATTTAGAATACGTGTCAGAAAAATATTTACGACAAAGTCCAAAGAAGAATCAAACTGGAATTGAAGACCAAGACTTCTGCATACATTAGCAACAAGGCAACACTTACCTATCTTCTTTGTTTATCTGGTCACCAAATCCCACGGTACTCACAACGGTTAGTTTCAAACGAACGTTGCTTTCATGGAGCTCATATCTCTGAGCTTTAAGTCTTACATTTGGGTGAAAATGAGTTGACATTGAGTCATCAAAACTGGTGTTAAATAGACTGTTTATTAATGTAGATTTCCCAGATCCAGTTTCCCCTAAAGTTAAACAGAAGGGTTTGGGGGTGAAATAAAATACCTGCCAAGCACACCAAGTGTTATCAGAACAACCCGACAAATCCACCAAAAAATATTTAATAATTTCTCCAAACAGTTGCTGCATTCCATTTTTTTTTAATATAAGGAGCATTAAATACCTTCTGTTAAATTTTTATCACATAGACAGCAGACATTTAATACTTACCTATAATGGGTAATAAGCAGAACTGCAGACAAATTTACCATTGGATTCAAAAGCTAAGTAACTACCTGTGAAACCACAGGGTTAGACACAATTTTTATAAAAAAGCATTTATTTGGGAAGCACAGAAATATTTCTGTATTATCGCCTTGGATTTTAGGACTTTTTGATCTAAAGATCTGTTGCTCAAAAGAATCCAAGAAGCTATCTACAAATCGTAAGTGCATGATGCCCACTTTCAACATTTTCTGCTTCCTGTTCTTTATAAAAAAGCTAAATATAAACCCCAATGATTGATACAAATGAGCAAAGATGGGGAAAGAGTGGAACTGCAGCTCATGCTTAACAAGTCAATTCCTAAGGAGGGGTGTAGCTTACAACCAAACAGCACCTACCGATACAAAGAATGTTGAAGCAGAAGCCCTGCTTGATGGATTTGTTAACCAGCTGATCAGGTAAAGTATCAAAACCAACATGGCCAGACAAGGATAAGGATCGAAGGCCATCTTTCTGCTATTAAAAAAAAAAAAAGAAAGAAAAAAGTGTGTTATCAAAGCGACTTGCAGAGCAATCAGCAATGGCAAGAAAGGAATTCTGTTGGTAAGCCAGAATTCATTCCTTAGAATTTACAAGGAACTCAGGAAAGCAACAGTCCAGGAGAAAAAAAGAATCTTTCAGCTCAGCTTACACTATAACTTGAGAAAATACTGATTTACTCTACATGGCTATTAGCAGTGTCAAGGTATAGACCTTTTCTTTTTTTTGGGGGGGAAGCGGGGCAGACATGGAGGAACAGAAATGAAATAAAGTGGACAAGTCCAAATAAAAATGTAAACTAAAAACCACAGAAAGAATATCAAATCACAGTTGATCTGCTCTAAGAAATGAAGAAAAGACTAATAAAAACAACTTATGAGACAGATTTCGAAATAGGGACCGTAATCACAGGAAGGTATATATTAGCAAACAGAATACATTCTGAGTAGCTGGAATTGTATTGTTTTATTTTATATAAGAAACTATTTCATTACCTACACATCAGAACTCTAGATAATATCTATTACTAGAAATGCCTAGAGGAGCACACTGCATTTTAAATATCCAGAATCCTGCATCACAACACCAAGGCAATGAGCATACAAAAAAAA